GTGGCGGGTTCAAGTACTGGCTCTGGAGTGTTAACCCAACCCAACTTGGGATGAAGTGATGCGCAGAAAGCACTAGAACAATGCCTGGGCCATAGACATACTAGATATTTTGACTTTATTTTAATAGATAGAGGTGGCTGTGCAGTTCACAAGTGCATTCTGGTTTAATCAACACCTGTCCTACAGATGGGAAAATGGCTCCCATATCTCCTGGCTTGTACCATGTACCAGGCAGAGGGGTGACCTAGGCAGGTAAGGAGGTAAGTGAGTCGCCTGGGGTTGGAGGGAAGATTCTCCATAAGTTCCCAGGATGGACGTGCAGAAGGTCCATCACCCCTCCTTGAGTATGTGGTTGGTCTCCTGAAGACATGGCTGAGGCTGACCAGGTCAGTGCGCCTGGCCTCTGGCCCTGGCCTGCTCAGAGCCTGTGACTGCAAGAGGAATGACAAAGCCAGGTTTATTGCTCCGATTAAACCAGCGGACACAGAAACTGAGGGAGGACGGTATAAGAAGTTGGTGAACATTTCCTCAAGGCCACTGCTGAATCCTTGGCACCTGGGAAACTGACCCATGCACTACAGATGTGCTGGTTACCTGCTCACAGGCCAGCTCCCCCCACCCCGAGTCCAAAGTTCGAGCTGCAACCCAAGGCTCTGGGGAGCAGGGCTCCTTCTGACCACGGTGCTGCCTGCGGAGTCCCCTGCAGAGGTCTGAGCATGGAGGCGGGGGCTGCGTCCTTAGGAACGGGTCTTGGTGGAGGAAGAGGCTGCCTGCTTCTTCTTGGCGGGGGCTTTCAGCAGCGCCAGCTTCTTGGGCAGGCTGGTGCTGGCTTTCATCACCACATCATGTTCAATCTTCTTCCGGATCCCGACCTCCAGGTCCTGAAGGGGCAACCGAGGGGCAATCAGACTGGGATCTGAGGCCGAGGGAGTGAGGGAGGGCCTGAATCAGTGACGCCCCGCCCCCGAAACAGCACCTGAGAGTCCGGAGGCTGAGGTCTAAGTCCTGCTTTTTTTGTGGTGTTACACACACACACACACACACACACACACACACACACACACACAATCCTTCCTCATCCCTGGACCTCAGCTTCCAAACTTCTGCTCACTCCCATTTCACTGAAGGGGAAATCGAGGCTCTGCAGGGAGGAGACAGTTGCCCAGGGTTCACAAACCACGTGAGGGGAGACTGGACCCTGGCATGCCTAGAGTCTCTGGTCTCAGTCCATGGACAGTCCCTCCTGTCCCATGTCATCTCCGCTTTGCACATGGGGAACTGGGGCTCTGAGACAGGGATGTGAGCAAGTAAAGGCACAGGGGTTAGAAGCCAAGTGTGTCTGGGTCCAAAACTGGTAGTTTAATCACATTCCCCAAACCATCCCCTTGCCCTGCCTGTATGAACTCCAATGACCAGGGCACGGGAGACACAACAACAAACAGGTCACAGGAGAACCTCTGCCTTCAGCGAGCTGACAATCGGTGCATGTGTGGGGACAATGTAAATGCCATTGTTACATTATGTTAAACTGTTGAACGATGAGAAATGGTAAGAGGTGTTACAGAGAAAAGAAAATAAGGGCGAGTGAGTGTGTGTGTGGGGAGGAGCTGTGGCTGCCATCAGGAACAAGCTGCTCAGAAGCACACTTGCAGTCAGACCTGACTCAGAGGAAGGGAGCCATGTGGATTTGGGGGCAGAAGAAACAGCCAGTGCAAAGGTGAAGTGGACAGAGCAGTTAAAAGGGCCAGTGAGGCTGGAGGGAGCAAGGGGGAGAGTGGGAGCGCCCAGGGAAGTGAGCCGGGGTTATAGTGTACGGGGCTTTGTGGAGGACTTGGTTCTCGGCCCCCCCCAACCCCCCCTCAATGAGGTAGACCCCCCAGGGTCCTGAGCAGAGAAAGCAACAGGATCTGACTTTTAAGTGCTCACAGGCGCCCTCTGGCTGCTATGGGGGATGGGGGAGGGGGCAGATCAGGGAGGAGGGGGCAGATCAGGGAGGAGAGGGTGAGGGGGAGATCCAGGATGATCTGGAATATTTTGAAATTTGGTAAGACAGACTCTTCCTGCCAAAACCGGTTTGGCTCAGTGGATAGAGCGTCGGCCTGCGGACTGAAAGGTCCCAGGTTCGATTCCGGTCAAGGGCATGTACCTGGGTTGCAGGCACATCCCCAGTGGGAGATGTGCAGGAGGCAGCTGATCGGTGTTTCTCTCTCATCGATGTCTCTAACTCTCTAGCTCTCTCCCTTCCTCTCTGTAAAAAATCAATAAAAAAAAAAAAAAAAAGACAGACTCTTCCTAAATGAAGACTGGAGGTAAGCAGGCTGCGGGGGACCCAGGTCTGAGAAAACCGAGGCTCTGGGGAAACGAAACAATTTGATGAAGGTTACACACTAGTAGTTAGTGTGGAAAACAACCCAAAATCAGATCTGACTCCACCAAAATCAGTTTTAATTTTCTGTAACTTCTTAAGCTTAACCCTAGAAATGACAATAACCAACACAGCTAATGTTTCTTTGTGCCTGTGCTGTTCTCAGCGCTCTACAGGTGCCCTATGGCCCTGAATCCTTACAACTCGATGTTTCACAGGTAAGAGGCTCATGGTGAACAAATACAGCCAAACCTTGGTTCTCCAAGGTCTCCGATCTTAGACAATTCGGTCCTCAACCAAGTTCACGGAAAAATGTCTCGGTTTTGGACCAGACAACCCTTTCATGCCTCTCAGACAATACACAAAGGAGAAAGTGCTTTTGTTGGCGGCGAAAAGGACGATTAGCACAATTTTAAAACACAAAGAGGTCATGGAGAGTGCTGATGTCGCTAAGGGTGTGAAAGAAGCAATGATCACAGGCAACTGAGGCAGGAGAACTGTTGCTTTGGATAAAGGAAAAGCAGTTGGCCACTGACAGCATTTCAGAGGCAGGGACACATGAACAAGCTCCGATGCCGGATGCTGACCTGAAAGACACCCTGGAATGAATGCTAAAGTGATTTAAGGTCAGCAGGGGGTGGTTCCGTGAACTTAAGAAAAAAGTGTTTAAATTATACATGAAACAGTACATTAAACATATACTATATATAAGAAAGGTTTTAAAAAAAGGGAATCATTTGTGGGTCTGGAATGGATTAAATTTACATGATTTCTAATGGGGGCAAAACGATTGGGTCTTCGAACGAATCGCTTCTTGAACAAATTAAGTTCGAGAACCGAGGTTCCACTGTATTACCCATGGACAGCGATTTGCCTCCAGCACCGCCTTCGCGCACAGCTGGGGTTTTCAACTCGGTTCCCATGCCCTCCCGCCCCCCAGCCCCATGAGAACACAGTAACCAAAGCAGCTGAGTGAGTGCGGAATACGTTCCGCGCGCCAGGCCGTGCTTCGACGTTGGCGACCGCTGCTCCAAAGGTTTCCTTAAACCTGCGGTCGCCAACCTTTCGGACCGCGCGGACCACCGGGTGGCGACCGCTGAGAGGCCCGTGGAATAACAGGTGAGGGTCCTGTACGCACCGCGCGCGGGAGGCTGAGTCGGGAATTCTCCAGGATCCATCCCCGGACCCTGACTTCATCCCCGGACCCTGACTTCATCCCGGGACCCCTCCCTGTACCGACCTCCAAGCTCCATCCCTCGGCCCCCGCACGCCCCCGCTCACCTTCTTGAGCTTTCGCTGTTGCACAACGCGCGCCTTCTTGGGGGCGATAACACGACCTGGGGGAGACACACTCGCGTGAGGTCAGGGCGCCCAGGCCCACGCCGCCCACTCCGCGCAGCCCCCGGACCGCTCCTCACCTCCCTTCCTCGGGCCCCGGCTGCGCTCCGAGGCCGCCGCCGCCGCCTTGCTCTTGGCCGGCTTCTGCGCCTGGAACTTGCGCTGCCCCTGCGCCATGACGGAACGTGCGCAGGAAAAAGCCGGGCTGACAATTGTTACCGGAAGACGCAGGGCATGATGGGATACACTGGGGCCAGGACGCGCAAGGGCGCATGGGAAACAACGTGGCAAAGAGTTCGCGTTCTGACAAAGATGGTTCTTTATTGACAGCGTTTGGCAAAAACTTGAAAGGGAAGGTTACAATGACAAACTGATGTTCACTGGGCGCTCATGCTTTGTAAAACGTGTAGTTTTATGCTCTTTGTATGCAAAATTCAGTCCAGAACAAAAATGAGGTGAGTTAGGCACTTACTGGTGCAAAATTTAAGGGTACCCAAAACTCTGTAATCAAGATAGTGTTTTCAACATTTAAAAGTAACATTTTAATATTTAAAAAAATCAAGCCGTGAAACTACTGCTTGTAGATTGGTGGTCTGATGTTGTAAATAAAGTTTTATTGGGACAAGGGCTGGTATCAGAGGTTAAGGTCAAGGTGTGCAAAGGTAGGCTTCCATTCTGTTTAGTATCTTGGTATTTTGTTCATGTATTTTTTTTTTAAATAAGGATTTTAAAAAAATATCTTATTGATTTTTTACAGAGAGGAAGGGAGAGGGATAGAGAGCTAGAAACATCGACGAGAGAAACATCTATCAGCTGCCTCCTGTACACCCCCTACTGGGGATGTGCCCACAGCCAAGGTACATGCCCTTGACGGGAATCGAACCTGGGACCCTTCAATCCGCAGGCCGACACTCTATCCACTGAGCCAAACCAGTTAGGGCTCATGTATTTTTCTTGCATTCATTTTGATTTTTAAAAATACTGCATGAAAGTATTATTTATCTTGGTTACTGAGCTTTTTGGTGTCCCGTTTAAAATTTTGTGCCTAAGGTGTTACCCTAGTTCCAGTCCTGAGAGCAACCTAAGAAGGCCGTAGGTATTGTCCCCATGTCATAAATGAGGAAACCACAGCATGGAGAGGTGAGGTGACTTGGCCGAGATCACACAGCAGAAAGAGTGGCAGAACTGGGATAGGAACTTGGTAGCCTATCTCCAGCTGCTGCACTTACAAGAGCCATGCAAAGACTCTGTCCGCTATCCCTGCTCTAGGAAGAAGTATGATTGGGGGAAGGTCAGCTTTGGGGCAGACTATTCAATACATTTTATTATAAAACCTAGGGGGATGGGGCAGGGTATGGAGAGCCGGGTTGGTTACTTCTGGGGTCCATCTAATGTCCCCACCCTCAGGAGATGGTGGTGCTTAGGGCTGCCTGGAGTTCTTTGGGGGTAAAGACACCCAGCTCTGTGATGATGCCGCCAGTGATGAGGTCATGGGGGGTGACATCGAAGGCAGGATTCCAAACCCCAATTCCTACAGGGGAGAGAAGGGAGGCAAGAAGGTAGGTATTTGCTTCTGTGAAAGTTCTCAAGTTGTCAGCTGGCCCCCCACACCCATGGTGGTTGTTGGAGTTAGGGAATTCTTGAGAATCTGGGGATACTTACCCCAAAGTGCATGAAGACATGGGCTTTGGTACCTAGTAACAAGTTTAGACTCCTCTCCGCACACCGTTCCTGAATTGTCACTAAGAAGGTTTCAGTCTTATATATATCCATCCTACTCTTGCCTGGATCTCTTAAGAACCTCCAAGAATCCACTCCAGGGCCTTTGCATGGGCTCTGCCCTCTGCCTCGAAGCTCTGCCTCAGATATGCACGACTCAATGTTTCATTTCCTTCAGTCTTTGCTCAAATGTCACCTTTTCAGTGAGAAGGTCTCTGATTATCTTATCTAAACCCCCTGTACAGACACTTCCTTGCCTTGTTTATTTCTCCTCAGCCCTTACTTCCTATAATTGTGTTATTTATCTTATTGTCTGTCTCCTTGACCAAACTGTCAGCTCTATGAGGGCATGGAGTTTTGTGTCTTTTTTTCACTCCTATATCCCAGCACTTAGCATTAGTCAGGGGCTCAAAAACATTTGCTGAATGAATTACTCAGCATAGACCACAATTTTGTACACAAGAGGCTGCAAACTGGTGGCCTGTAACTTTTTTCTCTGGCTCACAGTTGTTTTATTTGTTAATCCTCACCTGAGGATATTTTTTCCCCATTAATTTTTAGAAAGTAGAAGGGAGCGGGAGAGACACAGAGAGAGAAACATGGATGTGAGAGACTGACCGAGGGCTGGGGATCGAGCCTGCAACAGAGGTACACGCCCTTGACCGGAATCGAACTCGAGACCCTTCAGTCCAAGGGCTGATGCTCTAACCATTGAGCAACCAGCTAGGGCAGGCTCACAGTTTTTTGAGTCCACTGAATTAGCTGCTACCTCTCAAAAGGTGGGAAATGTCATATATTAAAAAATGTAAGGCTTCTCTTGGAAAAAACAGAAGACCCATTTCTCTGGGGCCTGCATTCCTATGACCACTGGCGGGAGCAGAGTATCGGGGCCCACAGACTGCACCTTGCCCATGTCACTTATGTCTTGCTGTCCCAGTTTTATTTTAGTGGGTGTGGGTTGTCAACTCTGCTTTCCACAGTCTTAGGGACTATGACCAGTGCTAATTATGCCTCTAGGAAAGCAGGGACGCCAAAAAAGAAAACGAGAAAAAAAATTTTCAGAATCAATGTGTCCTTTTTAAAAAAGTGGTAAGGCCGAAACCGGTTTGGCTCAGTGGATAGAGCGTCGGCCTGCGGACTGAAAGGTCCCAGGTTCGATTCCGGTCAAGGGCATGTACCTGGGTTGCGGGCACATCCCCAGTGGGAGATGTGCAGGAGGCAGCTGATCGATGTTTCTCTCTCATCGATGTTTCTAACTCTCTATCTCTTTCCCTTCCTCTCTGTGAAAAATCAATAAAATATATTTAAAAAAAAAAAAAAAGTGGTAAGGAGTCGCAGCAGAAAATAACAGGCTATTAGGACCTCCCTCTGCTTAGTTGTATAGTGTTTTTAAAAAAAATGTTTTTATTGACTTTAGAGTGAGGAAGGGAGAACCATCAATGAGCGAGCAAAACATCAATTAGCTGCCTCCCACACCGGCCCCAACTGGGGACTGAACCCACAACCTGTGCACATGCCCCGACCAGGAATCAAACCAGTGACCCCTTGGTGCATGGGACAACGCCCAACGCCCAACGAACTGAGCTACACTGGCCAGGGCTGTATAGTTTTGTTTTTTTAAAGCTTTTTTTTTTTTAAAGTTATTTATTTTTTTGTTACTCCTCACGCAAGGATATTTTTCCATTGGTTTTTAGGGAAAGTGGAAGAGAAAGACAGAGAAACATTGATGTGAGAGAAACACATTGATTGGTTGCCTCCTGCACGAGTCCCCAATGAGAGCCTGGGCTGGGGAGGAGCCTGCAACCAAGTTATGTGCCCTTGATCGAAATCGAATCTGGGACCTGTTGGTCCGCAGACCGACGCTCTATCCATTAAGCAAACTGGTTACAGCCCACCCCTCTCTTTAAAAAAATTTTTTTTTTTTACTGATTTTAGAGACAGGAAGGGAGGGAGAGAAGGGTTGGAAGCATCATTGATGAGAATCATTAATCGGCTGCCTCCTGCATGCCCTCTATTAGGGATTAAGCCCAAAACCCAGGCATGTGCCCTGACTGGGAATCAAACCATGACCTCCTGGTTCATGGGTCGATGTTCCACCACTGATCCATACTGGCTGGGCTGTATACTGTTATTATTTTAAAAATAAGTATATTTTTATTGATTTCAGAGAGAAAGAGATAGAAACATCAATAATGAGAGAGAATCATTGATTGGCTGCCTCCTGCACAACCCCCACTGGGGATCAAGTCCGCAACCTGGGCATGTGCCCTGTCTGAGAATTGAACTGTGTGGCTCCTGGTTCATAGGTGGATGCTTAACCACTGAGCAACACCAGCCAGGGTCTCTGTAGGGCTGGGCCTATTCTCCAGGTCATGTGGGTTAATTCACTGAAGGCCCTGGGATTTATGAGGTAAGTCACAATAACAGCTCTTCTATAGATAGGAACACAGGGACTCTTAGGGATGAGAGAACTTAGGCAACCTGCGCTAGCTGCACAGCCAGGGAGCATGGGAGACTGAAAAATATCTGTGTCTCTTCATAGGCACTTGGCTGAACAGGATTCTTATTTGTTCTTCAGGTGAGAAAACCGTGGTAGAGAATGGCAAGACAATTTACTCAAGGTTTCTCAACTCCTGAGTTGGCCATTCTCACCTTGAATTTGACTTCCAACATGTTTCTGTTTCTAAAATTGGCTTGAGCCCTAACTGGTTTGGCTCAGTGGATAGAGCGTTGGCCTGCGGACTCAAGGGTCCCAGGTTCGATTCCGGTCAAGGACATGTACCTGGGTTGCGGGCACATCCCCAGTGGGGAGTGTGCAGGAGGCAGCTGATCGATGTTTCTCTCTCATCGATGTTTCTAACTCTCTATCCCTCTCCCTTCCTCTCTGTAAAAAATCAATAAAATATATATTAAAAAAATAAAAATAGCCGAAACCAGTTTGGCTCAGTGGATAGAGCGTCGGCCTGCGGACTGAAGGGTCCCAGGTTCGATTCCGGTCAGGGGCATGTACCTGGGTTGCGAGTGCGTCCCCAGTGGGGGGTGTGCAGGAGGCAGCTGATCGATGTTTCTAACTCTCTATCTCTCTCCCTTCCTCTCTGTAAAAAAACAATAAAATATATTTTAAAAATAAAAATAAAAAAAAATAAAATAAAATTGGCTTGAATTTGAAGTTGCTTGTGCCCTAGAAGGCTGATGACACCCCAAATGCCGCTTGCCTCCTGTGAAGGAGATGGGTACCTAACTGAAGGCGCCCAGATTCTGGTACCTCGCTGAGCGATGGCTTACCGGGTGCTGCAATCCTGACCCCGTTGACATCGGTCAGCTCCTGGCCGGGGCGCTCCTCAATGACGATCTGCTGGCCCGTCTCCAGACGGAGGTCACATGAGGAGCTGGGGGCAGCTACGTAGAAGGGGATGCCATGGTACTTGGCGGCGATGGCCAGCTGGTAGGTGCCCACCTTGTTGGCTGTGTCACCATTGGCAACCACACGGTCAGCTCCCACAACAACAGCTGGGGAGCAAGATGTCGGGGGTCATCACCTGACCCTGGATGCCCGGAGCCCTGAGTGCCGGTGCCCTGCCTGCCGGCACCCCACTGCTGACCTGACACGTCCCGGTGAGCCATGGCGGCTGCTGCCATGCTGTCGGTGATGAGGGTGGCGGGAATCTGCTCATAGACCAGCTCGAAGGCTGTCAGCCGGGCCCCCTGGTTGTAGGGCCGGGTCTCCGTGCAGAAGACATGCTTCAGGCGGCCAAGGTTATGCAGCGAGCGGATCACACCTGCAGGACCCGACTCACCAAAAGGCCAGGATGAGACAGAAAGGGACAGATGGGCAGGGTGGTGGCCCATTAGTTGGGGGCACCGATCTCCAAAGGCTCCCCATCCCCAGGCCCTGGTGTTGGCTGTCCCTCTGTCCAGTGCATGTGTGCTTAGAGAACACCTGCAGGTGAGTCCTTCCTGATCCTTCCATCTCACATAGCAACCCCCACACCTCTAACTCTTTCCCGGCTTTTCCTCTTTAGTACTTATCACCTTCGAACACATCATATATATTTACCGACTTGCTTTTGTCTGTTCCTTCTACTTTCCTTTCCCATTGGCTGAGATTTTGTTCACTTTGTTCACTGCTGGCTCTCCAGCGCCAAGAACTGTGCCTGGCAAATAGTTGATGCTTAACAAATGTCTGTTGAGTGAATGAAAGAATGCTTGCGCTCATGAATGGTGGGACACATAGTAGGTGCTTAATAAATGCTGAGTGAATAAAGGAATGCATGCATGCATGAATGGTAGGGCACAGAGTAGGTGCCAATATTTGTTGAGCAAATGAATGAATGATGTCTTGCCATCAGGGCCTTAGTCCCCAGGCCCCAAAGTGGGACCCAAGCAGGTAGAGAAATCTGGGGAATTTAGGATCAAGTGGAATCTGCTGCCTTGAGTCCCAGGACCCAGTTCCCCCTCTCCAGGTCACTGCTACCCCTATCGTTCCTGGGGGACCACTCCCTTTCCCTCAGTTCTCTTGAAATCCACATTCTGCCCACTCAGGCCAGGTCCATCAAGTGGTTGATGTTGGATGGGCAGGTGACCCCATCGTAGCTCTGAGTTATAAGGAGTCTCTTCTGGCATTGTTGGCATAGGCTCCTTTCCTGCTGATCTGAACATTGGCAGGCCCTCTGCTGACCCGTGGACTGGGAGCAGGACCGGGACAGGAATAGATGGGTCCTAATGCGAATTTTTCAAACTCCTGGATCCAGCCATACCTGAAGCCACCTTCCTGTTTCTGTACAGAACTAATCTATCTCCATTTTGGGGGGTGGGGTGGGAAAAGTGGTTTGGGTTTCTTTCTTTTGAATCCGAAAGGGGCCCTCCCCCATCCCTATGAACATCCACTTACTCACCCAGGGCTGTGCCATAGCCAGCCGTGGCCAGTGCACCAGTATTACAGTGGGTCAGCACGGTCACCTTGCTGCCCTTGGGGGCTGCCCGCTCCAGGAGGTGGTGGGCTCCCAGGTCTCCAATGCTCCGATTATCCTTGAGGTCTTTCTCCAACATGTCTTCAGCGAAGCAGATCACTCTGGGGCCGACAAGGGACTCAGCCTTGGGGCCCAGGCTGGCCCCTTCTTCCTGCCCAACTCTATTGCTGAAAGCCTCTCACAGCTGTGAGGCCTAGATCCCTCTGCTTTTGTCACCTGTCACTCCATTCGCTCATGCAACACGTTAACTGAGCACCTCCTGTGTGCGAAGCGCTGGGGGGCCCAGCAGTAACCAAGACAAAAATCTCTGCCCCTATGGCGCTGACACAAGTGGGGGAGGCAAAAATGAGCAGATAATGAAGTGAAGAAAAAGGCAGCAGAGTCAGGGCGGTGGGGGTGGGCGATGCGCTGTAACATGGGGGGTGGGGAAGACAGAAGCCTTAAACCTGAAGGAGGGGTATCTGCTCTAGAGAGATGGCATGTGCAAAGGCCCGGGGGCAGCAGCGAGCCTGGTGGGGTCAAAGAACATGTAGCTGGAGCAGAGGGGGAGAGTGGGAAAAGAAGAGGGCAGGGAACGGGTAAGACAAGAACCAAAATTCCTCAAAAGAAAAAAACCAGCAGAAGGAAGTGGTACTGAAAAGGACCTCCAAGGGCAACGGGGGCTGGGCATGATCGGGGGAGGCACAGTCATGGGATTGAGCCCAAGTTCCTGGGGCCTGGGGTGGACTCCCAGACCTGCCTGTGTGGCCTTGGACTAAGCGCGCCATATCTGCTTCTCATCTGTAAAATGGGTCGCTGTGCGAAAAAAATGAGTCAGCCTCTGCTCAGAGCGGTGCCTGGCACAAGGCGCCCTACCTCTCCCGGACGGCCCCCTCCGTGGCGCCCTCCCGCTCGGCCTCTTGGGCTGCGGCGTCGGCCAGGTCGCGGGCAGCGCGGGCCATGTTGACGGCGGTGGGCCGGGCGGTGACCAGGAAGCTCAGCGCGTCGCGCACGAAGGCAACGAGCGCGGCGAGTCCCGGCCCCCCAGCTCCGGCCTGCAGCTCCACGGCCAGGCTGAGGCACCCCACGAGCGCGATTGCAGGCGCGCCGCGCACCTGGAGGAAAGGCATGGGAGTGTCAGGGGCGCCAGGCGAGGGCACGCCCCACCCCCAACCCCCAACCCGGTCGCTGCACCCCACCTTCATGGCGCGGATCGCCTCCCAGGCCTGGCGCACCGAGTCTACCTCCTCGTAGCGGCATTGCTGGGGCAGCAGCAGCTGGTCGAGGATCTGCAGCGAGCCCCGCGAGTAGCGGATCGCCTCCAGAGGCGGCATGGCGCAGCCAGCGTGCTCCACCTGGGTCCCCGGCGCAGCGGGCCGCGTGTGGGCGGGGCCTCCGCCGGAAGGAGGCGTGTGCGCTCACGACCCTACTTTCCTACCCCCTTTTCCGGGCCAAGCTCGGCGTTAGCCACCCCCTCGGAACCACAAAGGCGTCACCATTTACGGGGCGTCTTCTAGATGCCGGGCCTGGTGTTTGGCTGATCATGCTATGACCCCCAAATCCCAGGTGGGCTCCATCAGGCCGGAGCAAGTGCTGCGGGTTGTCTCTGGTAGAGTAAAGCCCTAACTGGGGATGTCAGGAACTGACGGGCTCTCGCTGCTGCCCTGAGGCTTCACAGCCCCATTGGGGAGCAGGGCTGGTCGTCTGAGTACGAATTCAGCCGGAACCTCAGCCCCGAGAGGGTTGCGTTTGTTCATCGCTGTGTCCCCTGTGGCTAGAACAGTGCCTGGCACCCTCCCAGCGCTCCATCAGAATCTGTGAAATGATCTTCCTTTCCCAAGGTTAGGGGGAGATGACAGGCTATAAATTCCTGGTGTATGTGTGGCTGTTTTGACCTATTTTCTGCTCAGTTTTATGTTTCATTCAAAAGCAGCAACACGCTGGGGCCTTTTTAGTGATCCTTGTAAGGTGTCCCCATGGGCTGACAATGAACAGCTCACACCTGCATAGGCACCCCATGTACCCCCAAACCCTGGGCCCCCTGCGTGGTTCCTGCTGCCTGGTCCCCTACCCACCCTTCCCACTCAGCCCATGTCACTTCCTCTGGGAAGTCTGTCCGGATTGCAGACCAACCTGAGCCACTACCTTGAAACCCTCATCACCCTGGGTGAGGACCATCGCTGTGGTCACAGCTGTAGCCCTGGCATCACCATTTGCTATGAGAGGCCTGCCAGCTTGGTTGGATGGCGGGGTGGGGTAGAGGGGCAGCCCCTGGGCCCATCTAGTAACCGGAGGCAAGGGCAAAGAAGCAGGGCTTTAATAAGTCTTGGGGGGAAGGGGGATGTCCTACACGGCACACACACCCGCTCCCCCTCTTCAGGATCAAATAAATAATTTCATCCCTCGGGAAGGCGAGGTCTGAGGAAGGGGTAATGTTTGAGGTCTCGGAGGGCTGGTGGTCCAGTCCCGTAATCACTCACTTTCCGAGTCTGAGTAGTCAGCCACAAGGGAAGAGTTGAGGGTGTAGGGGTGTGGCGTGTCCTGGGGATCGGCTGCCTCCTGGGAGGAGCCTGATGAGGACCGGGGCCTGTCCTGACAGCCCCCAGTCAGCCCTTGAGGTTCCTTTGTCTTGGGGGTCTTGGCTGTCTCCTGAGAGCAGTCTTGGGGGGATGTGGGCATGTCCTGGGTGGTGCGCTCTGACACCGGTAGCTTCCCAGACGTGGAGGTCTCAGCAGCATGCTGTGGGCTCTCTGAGGTCTCCCGGGACTGCCTTCGAACAATACCCAGGCCCCCCACGGTGATGGGGGAGCCCGCAGGTGCAGATTTGCGGTTCTGGGCCAGCTTCTTCAGGACGCTGCCAGCTTTGCTGCAGTTGCTGGGCCCTGAGGCCGAGGGGAACCAGGAGCGGCTGATGATCTCTGTCCGCTTGAGTTTCTGCTTGTCCTCATAGGCTGGGGGAGAGGGAGAGGAGGGGAAAGAGGTCCAGAGCCACCCTCTGCCCGGGTCTGCCATTCAAAGCCGGGACCCCCCATCTCTCCCCATCCCAACCCATGCCCTTCAGCCCCACGCACAGTCCAGCGTATGGAACTTGAGCAAGGCGGCCAGCCTGCGGTCGTCCTCTGTCTCAGGCACCAGGGGGATGGCCAGGCTCGCCTTGGCCTGCAGTGCCTGGTCCCTCTCCTCCTCCTCCTGCAGGGCTTTTTTCTTTTCCTGTTGGGGGAAGTGAGGTGGGTATCAAAGCCGTGTCTCTTCCATGCCTGTTGACTCACAGCATTGCTCCAGATCTCCGGGTCTGTTTCCTCCTCTCAAAGCTCCCACTATGGCTGGGCCACAAAAATTGCTTAACAAATGGGAGGCACAACTGTTATTAACACGTGTACCATCAGTTCTTCACTCACTCATTCCACAAATATTTACGTAACACCCATCTCGTCCTGGGCCTTGTTCTAGACACTGGGAACAGAGCAGAGAGCAGACAAAAACCCTTGCCCTTGTGGAACTGACATTCTGGTGGGTGAGTGAGACAAATGTGATGGGAGAAAAAGAATGCCAGGAAAGGGGTAGGGAGTGGCCAGGGGATTCAGCTTTAAATGTGAGACAGGGTGAAGAAGAGGCTCAGGGACTGTCTCCCTGAGAAGATCACATCTGAGAACAGACATCTGAGTGAGGGGCCATGTGGGAATCTGGTGGAAGAGCCTGTGCAAAGGCCCTGAGACGGAAGTATGCTTGGAGGTGCTGAGGGGAGTGAGGAGGCCAGTGTGGCTGGAGCCGAGCGAACAAGGGGAAGGTGGAGATGGGGCGGGGAGGGGAAGGGGCAGGTCATTCAGACCTGGGGGGAAAAGACTTTGGCTTCCACTTTAAGTGGGAGCCACGGAGGGAGGGTTCTGAACACAGGAAGGAGGTGACTGACTCCGGTGTTCATAGGTGTCCTCTGGTGGGGGTGGGGGAGAAACGGAATGTTGGGGTGCGAGGGTGAGAGCCTGGAGACCAGGGCAGAGGGACTGTGCTAGTCCAGGTAGGAGATGATGGGGTGGCAGAAGCAGCCAGATACCAGATATAATTTGAAGGTCCAGGCTGACAGAATTGCTAACTGGAGATGGGGAGGGGGAGTCAAGTCCAACTCCAAGCTTTGGGAATTCTGCCTAGGACAGATGCCTTCTTCTTTTAATTCTCACCCGAGGATATGTTTTTATTGATTTTAGAGAGAGGAAGAGAGAGAGAGAGAGAGAGAGAGAGAGAGAGAGAAGAAGAAGAAGAAGAAGAAGAAGAAGAAGAAGAAGAAGAAAAGAGATTGGTTGCCTCCTGTACACATCCCAATTGGGGATTGAACCCGCAACCTAGGTATGTGCCCTGACTAGGAATTGAACCCCCAACCTTTTGGTGTATGGGATGATGCTCCAACCAACGGGGCCACCCAGCCAGGGTGGACAGGTAACTTCTTTATTGAGAAGAGGGGATGTGGGCGGGGTAGGGTAGGGACTGAGGTAGGCTCACTGGGATGTTATGTCTGAGGGTCCTTCTACCACGTGCAGAAGCCCAGAAGGCAGGGGACATAGCTCAGGGCACAGGCCTGGCTGCAGGGAAGCACTTCTAGTAACAAGTAATTAGTAAGAAAACTAGAGCCCTGGCTGGGTAGCTCAGTTGGTTAGTGTAGTCCCCATACACCAAGGTTTAGGGTTCTCTCCCCAGTTAGGGCACATACCAATGAATGCATAAATAAGTGAACCAACAAATTGATTGTTCTCTCTCCCTGCTCTCTTTCTCTCTCTCTCTCAAGTAAGTAAATAAAAAGACAAAAACAAACTAGTAATTTTACTCCTAATGATGACCACAGAGTGATCAGAAAAGGAAGAGATGGGAGCTGTAGGGTAGTGAGGGAACTCGTGGCCTGTGGGGTTAGCCCTAATGCTCCTGCGTGGGCTCCATCTGCAGTGTCCTGGGCACAGTCTACTCCACAGAGTGGGAGAAGGAGGAGAAGGTTCTCACGGTGCCCTGTCAGACCCTGCAAGGGTGAAAAACCCATCTATACGGGTGAGTTTTCACAGCCCCACCAAGCGTTTTTGGCACAACCTCAGTAGCCATTGTGGTCACTGACGGCAATAGCCCTGGGTGTCCTTTAGCATTTGTACCTGTGCCCTCAGTGACTCTCCACACAGGTGCAGATATCCTGCCCACACATTATGCAAATTGAAATATGCATTTTATATGTATTTCATTATAAATGATTTTCCCTTTTTTCTCATAGTCAGCACATGGCAGGGATGGTTTTGGAAATTATTTGGGGCGGGCTGACAGTCTATGGATTTTGTTTTGGGACAGCTGAGTGGGCCCATGAATGTGTGTTAGGCGCTGACCAGTTGGTCAGTACCCTGACACCCACAGCAGGGTCAGGCTTCACCCGTGCCCTAGCTTGAGGCTTGTTTACCCTTGGAGATCTGTTGAAAGCGAAGCCCAGTCCCCACAGGGGAAGGCGCTATGAGCTTAAAAATAGCCGCTGGGCTAGGTGCCTCCCATGAGCGCTGTGAGGTCTTCATGATGCAGGTGGGAAAATTAGACTCAGTGGATGAAATGACATGCCTATAGCTAGTATGTGGTGGGGATAGGGCTGGACCTGGTCTTAACTTGCCATGTGAGCGATGCCAGGTGCCCTGCCTGCCTGTGGTTCCAAACCTGGGCTGGGAGCCACTCACCCGGAACCTTTTCCGCAGCATGCTGTTGAGGGCAAAGTCGTCCTTCCAGGCGCTCTGTGCCTCCTGGATGTGGCTCAGGGTGGGGAGGGCCTTCTTGAGTGTGCTTCGGTCGGCCTCCCCGTGCTCCAGACGGAACATGGCGTCTGTCTCCAGCTTCTGCTTCTTCTCATGCTCTGCAAGGGCGGGAGTGTGGCTGGGCCTTCTGGGACCCACCTCAGGCTCAGGGTCAGGCAGGGGTGGCTCTGGGGCTGCCTGAGGTGCTCACCTGTTGTCAGCACCTGCTCATTGTCTGCCATGTCCCAGCGCTCCTCCTTGCGCTGGGCACCACTCACGATCACATAGTCACAGTTGGCAGGGTCTGTCTGCATCTCGATGTAGTTGATGCAGAGGTGGCATTTCATCCGGAATCTGGGAGGTGGGCAGGAATCAGGACACTGCAGCCACCCCAGGCTGCCATGTGACCCCTGCCTGCTTCCTTCTACCTGTGCGCATCATTCAACAAGTGTTTACTGATCCCATTACTCCAGAACCTTCTGTCTGGAGTTTATTCATTCACTCATTTGTTCGCTCATTCATTTACTCAACAAACACTCCTGAGCTAGGCTGCTCTGTGGCTGGCTTGGCACCAGCTGCCAGGGATATAGCAGTGAAACAAATCAACCTACACTTGGAGGGATGAACATTTCAGCAGGGGCCACATTGCCCACAAAGACACAAGCAACCACAGTGTGGGGTGGTACTCGCCACGTTAGAAAAGTCCTCTTTGAGAGGTGGTGTTGGAGTAGAAACCCAAGGGAAGGCGCCTTGCAGATGTCTGGGGAAGACTGAGTGTTCCAGGCAGAGAGAACAGAGGTGGAGCCTCTGGGTAAGAGAGAGGGACAGTGAGGAGCCCGTGTGCCTGGTGCAGAGTGAGCGAGGAGAAGTGTGGGAGGCGAGAGCAGGGATGGGATAGAGCAGGGTGTTAGGGGTCTTGTGGGCCATGGGGAGGTCTTTTACTCTGAGGAAGGTGGGAGCCATGGAGGGGTCTAGACAGAGGGACATACTGATTGACACACCAGGATGATTTTCAGGACAGAACACAGGTGATGGTCACCAGGAAGAGGGTACCAGCTCCCCTCCCTAAGACTCCTTTACCGCCCATTCGCCCTGCGGCCACCCATGTGTCCCTGAGACACCTGCCAGGCTGCCCCTACCTGTAGATCGGGGTCGTGTAGTAATTGCCAACCTTCTTCTTTTCTGCGTTGTAACGAACACCTGCAAGGAGAAGAGCAGAGTGGAGGCTCAGGCTAGGCTGGAGCCCATGTACCCGGGTAGGGGGTAGGCAGGGGGGGATTTTGCTCCCCTGCAGGGGAGGTACCTCAGGAGGGCACTGAAATTCAAGGGAGCAAAGACCTGTGTTCAGACTGTGTGACAGGTGCTCAAGCCACAGAGGAGGGTAGGCAGGAGCCAGCGGGTCTGGGATGAACCCTAATTCACCACCTATCAGCTGGGTGAGCTCAGGCCAGCAACCTCATCCCTCTGGGCCTGTTTCCCCATCTATGCAATAGGGATGATTAGAATGCCTACTGTACAGGGCGATTGTGAAAACTGCAGGAGCTAATAAAACACATATTGCTTAGAATTAGGGCCTGGCTCAGCAAGCATTTGAGAAGGGCTGGACTTATTATTTTCTAGAGAAGTTTCAGGTTTTTTATTATTTTGCTAGTTAGATGATATAAATTCTTGATTCTGTATGACCTTGCTTATAAGTGAAAAATGCTTAAATTAGAAAAACAGAGCGTGGGCTGGGGAGTGGTGTGGCTTAGCTGGGTTTTCCTCTCCTGGGTCCTGCTTCCATTCATGTCCCGGAGGGTGACCCATGTGTGGTGGTGTCAGGCCAAGCCCCACTTTTTGTCCCTGAGCGCCTGGGGGCCTTTAGGGCAGATTCCCTGGCTGGGTCTGATCAGGGAGACACCACAGGGCTCACTTGTCCTCCTCAGCAGTTGGGTGGCTTGGCCTACCCCTTCCTGCACTTCCACAGCCCCTGCCAGGAGAACTGGATCCTCTCACTGGGAGCCATCAGCTCCTGTTTACAGAATGAGTTGCTCCCCCGGCCCAGGTGCTGTGTGAGGAGCCGAGGGAGGCGCTGTGAGGATCCCAGAGGAGGAAACAAAGTCAGGAGAGCAGAGTCATCTGACCAAGGCTGAGCAAGACCTTGGACCATGCCTGTCTGTCTATCCATCAGTGCACCTGTGGCACAGTCAGGGGTCCAAACGCTAATGGTGACAGTCAAGGACAGTGATAGCAGCAAACTGAATTTACAAGCCCTCCCATACACCACGTGCTGTGCACTACACACTTTATTTATTTATTAAAATATATTTTTATTGATTTCAAAGAGGAAGGGAGAGGGAGAGAGAGATACAAACATCAATGATGAGAGAGAGCCATTCATCGGCTGCCTCCTGCACATCCCCACTGTGGATGGAGCCCGCAACCTGGGTACGTGCCCTGACTGGGAATCGAACCGTGACCTCCTGGTTCATAGGTCGACCCTCAACCACTGAACCATGCAGGCCAGGCTGTGCACTACATACTTTACATGCCACACAGGTGGACACTCAGACCACCTGAATTTTACAGATGGGTAAACTGAGGTACACAGAAGCTCAGTCACTTGTCCAGGATCACTCAGCTGGGAGATGAACGCAAAGCCTGGCCTCCCCACCGCTCTGCAATGAGGCATCCGCAGCCCGCCAGTCACCTGGGTGCCACCTCCTCCCAGACTCCTGATTGGGAGTCCCTGATGGAGATGACCCTGGTGGTTAATGGGCTTCAATATCTGTGGGACTGAATGGGTGGGTGGAATGTGGTTCTTGCAGCCATCACACCAGATGTTATATGGCATCTCGAATCTACACAAACAGAAAACAGCTTATTTGCTTTTGTCCACTGGGCTCTCCCTTAGACCCCACACCTGCAACTCTGGCCACAGCCGCCCTGCAAAGGGCACACACTGAGGGGGATAAAGAATGGTTGACGAATGTTCCTATAGCCAAGCCAGGCCAGGCCAACAGAGACATTCAGTTGAGCCTTGGGACTTGTGAGCAATATGTGCTTATTGTTTGATTATGTGGCAACAGCTGACTGATATGGTGACTCTCTGCTTAACAGAATTAAGATCCTGCAGCACTGGGCACGTTGGAGTGCTGAATTCTCCTTGAGACTGAGGCCAGGTGGCACAAGGGGCAGGGGTTCTCAGGCCTTACCTGATGATGAGGATGCCCTGGGACAGCTTCCGAGCCCGCTCCCGGAGCGGGTGGCTGTTGTGGTATCGGTTGAGAGAGCCATGCTGCGCAGAGAGGAAGGAGCAGGTTAGCACTGCTAAGCTGGGCAATCCCATGCTCTCTTGCATAGGCTGAGAGAGGCCTCTTTCTTATGACCTACCAGGGGTATTAACAGCACAATGGAAGGCACAGAGGCCCTGGTGAAGCCAGTGCGGTTGGGCTCATGAATACATGAATCTGAATCTTTCCTCTCCCATTTAAGAGCTGAAAGAGCTGTGTGACCCCGGGTAGTAACCTCACCATTTGCCTTCCTGAGTCTAGGTTCTGTAATTACCTCTGGGTGTCGTGGGGAGAACTAGGTGAGAAGACAACACTGGCAAACGTTTACTGGCTACTTTATGTGCGTTGTCTCATTTTAATCCCACAGCAAGTCTGTGAGGACAGGTTGTTTTATTTCCTTTTGACATGGGAAACCTGTGGTGTGGAAAGGCTGAGTCAAGGGCCTGGGGCCATGCACCCAGATCGCACTGATTCACTCAGCAGACTTACTCAGCCTCTACAGTATGAGGACACAGCTGTGAACAAGATGGAATGTCTCCACCCGGGTGGAGCGAATGTTCTCAAGGGGAAATGGACAATACTCAAGTAAACAGACCATGTGTCAGGGAGTTGAAGGGGCTCTGAAGAGAAACAAAGCACTAGGTAATGGAATAAGAGAATGAGACAACGGTCAGGGAGGCCCTCGGTGAGCAGAGACCTAAAGGAAGGGAAAAAACCTTGTGGTCAAATGGAGGAAGAGATTCCAAGCAGAGGGAACGGCAGAGGGTACGAGGAGACCAGAGGGGCTGGGATCTGACCCAGGGCCTGAGTGCCTGACCGCATCCTGAGTTCTGTGGAAATACGCCAAGCTGAGCACAGAGTAGAAGGTCACTGATGAGAGCCATGTTTACCTCTGGGAATGAAGACTACCGAGACTCGTGCCACAAGAGCAAGGCAGAGATCTCAGGGCCGCCCACGCTTCTGCAGCTGTGGCTCCGATGATGAGGATGCCTGGGACAGACCTCACCCTGCCCCGTGAGGTCTCTGCAATCATGGACACGGGGAAGGAAGCCTGCCTCTTACCTTTTCAGGGTTGAAATCCGGAGGGTAGTACTTGTTTACACCTTTCCTCTCACCCTGGAAAGCAGAAGAGAGACATGACTCAGAGAGGGTCCTGCAGGACACCTCGTGGTGCAGCCTTGAGGGGCGGGACTTGGATGAGGGAGATTGAGGACGGCCCTGGGCTCCGTGTCTGATCGAGGACTGGTGACCTGGGGGAAAACCCACTGTTGTTGCCATGGAAAATTCCACAAGGTTCCACTCTCCTAGAGCAATGGCTTTTGTATTTTTGGGGGTCTGACTTACAGTAAGACACATTTAACAATGCAACAGGGCAGACATGCCTGCAATACAGCTAAGGCACAGGTTTCATGAAAGAACCCTTACCCTGGCTGGGGAGTCTCTTTTCAAAAGCTGGCAGCCACCTGCTGAGATGACTGAATGACCCACCAAAGCAGTGGGTCTCAAATTTGGCTGCACATTGCCACCACCTGAGGAGTTTCTAAAATATGTACTGCTATCTGGGATCCACGCCCAGAAAACTCCTGACAGAGGACCTGCTCTGGAGAGTGGCGCCTGAACACTGGGCTTTTAAAAGGAACCTGGAAAACATGTTTAAACAAATCCTTGTTCACAGCAGCATCATCCCCAACAGCCAAAAAGTGGAAACAACCCAAATGCCCATCAATGGATAGTGGATAAACCAAAGGTGGTCCATCCACACATTGGAATATTATTCAACCATAAAAAGGATTGAAGCTCTGATACATGCTACAACCTGGGTGAACCTTGAAGACAGTACGTTAAGTGAAAGAGGCCAGATATAAAGGCCAAATGGTATATGATCCCATTTACATGAAATGTCCTGAATAGGCAAATCCATAGAGACATGAAGCAGACTAGTGGTTGCTAGGGGCTGGAGGAGGGGGGAAGGGGAGTGCCTGCTAATAGGGAAGGAGTTTCCTTTTGGGTGATGGAAACGTTTTGGAAGTAGTTAGAGATGGTGGCTGCACAACATTATGAATGTGCTAAATGCCATGGGAAAATACACTTTAAAATGGTTAATTTTGTTATGAGAATTTCACCTCATTAAAAAAAATCAAAGAAAGAAAAAAGCTTCTGGGGTGATTTTAATGGGAAGCAAAGTTTGAGAACTACTGCACCAGAGGATCATGAATCCAGAGTTTGAAAATACCATCTTAGAGCTCAGGGACAGGGAAGGGCTTTAGGGGAGGAAGGGGCTACTGTGGGGGTCTAATGAAGACTAGGAAAGAACCCCAAGAAACACAAGCCAGTCTACTCACCATCTTGGGAGCTGCCTACTGGTCCTCACCCTCAACGTGGCCAATCTGAAAAGATGACAAGACACTGATACGGACTGTGCTGTGTTGACCATCTGCCCAGTCCCACGCTCCTGGGGAGCCGGGCAGAGGGGCAATGGCTTCCCTGAGAAGATGCTGTGGGCTGGGTAAGGTGGTGTCGACTCTGAAGAGCCTCCCCCCAGGTGTCCAAAGAGCAGCGTTTGTTGGTTTAGAAAGAGTGTCCTGTCCACTCGCCATCCAGCATATATTCACAGCTAACACCTCTCACCCCTCCACGGCCCCTGCCATCGCTCCCCTGGACCAGGGCAGCCGCCTCTCTCTGGTCTCACTCTGCCCGTAATTCCCACAGTCTGTTCGTCCCACAGGGGCTAGGAGGATCTTTTAAAAAATAAATCTAAAATCTCGCACTCCTGCTTAAACCCCTCCAGTTACTCCCATTGCTTTGAGAATCATGTACCCCCCTCAGCCCCCTGGCTGTGGGCTATGGATCCTCTGCCTCTCTCTCCAAGCCTGCCTCTCACCCCTCTCCCGCGTGCTCACTCTGGCTTCCTGGCTGCCTTCAGAGGCTAAGCAGTGCAGGCCACCTGCCTGAGCGCTCCTCCAAGAGCTGTCTGTTCTCTGTCACAGGTCTCAGCTCAAACATCACTTTTGTCAGAGGCCTCACTGGGGTCACTTCTCCCTGGAGTTCCTATCACACCACCCTGTGTCTGTTTACTTGTCTACAGTTTGCCTCCTCTGCAAGGTCTCACCTGGCCATAGCTCTAGCACCAAGGACAGTGCCTGGCCTCTAATAAATTAATTTTGACAGAAGGCCCTGGCCTGTGGCTCAGTTAGTTGGAGTGTAGTCCCGTACACCAAAATGTTGCGGTTTGATCCCTGGTTAGGGTGGGTACAGAAGGCAACTGATGGATGTTTCTCTCTCTCCCCCTTTCTCTCCCTCTCAAGTCAATAAACATATCCTTGGGTGAGGATAAAAAAAACAAAAACTTAAAAACTTAAAAAATAGCTGATATTGCCCGGCTGGTGTGGCCCAATGGTTGAGCGGTGACCCAGGAACCAGGAGGTTACTGGTTCGATTCCCAGTCAGGACACATGCCTGGGGTTGTGGGCTTAATCCCCAGTAGGGGCGTGCAGGAGGCAGCTGATGATGTTTCTACCTCTCTATCCCTCTCCCTTCCTCTCTCTCTAAAAATCAATAAAATACATATTTTTTAAAAAGCCGATATTTAAAAAAAAGTTCTGACGGAAGAACCATTGGTAACTGATTGAAATTTCCATAAGAATCAGTGGCACGCCGAAACCGGTTTGGCTCAGTGGATAGAGCGGCAGCCTGCAGGCTGAAAGGTCCCAGGTTCGATTCCGGTCAAGGGCATGTACCTTGGTTGCGGGCACATCCCCAGTGGGGAGTGTGCAGGAGGCAGCTGATCGATGTTTCTCTGTCATCGATGTTTCTAACTCTCTCTCTCCCTTCCTCTCTGTAAAAAATCAATAAAATATATTTAAAAAAAAAAAGAATCAGTGGCAGGTGACACAGGTATCAAATGCAGGGGCTCCTAAAACTTGTGGTTAGACATCCCCTACACCCTGCATGTTTGGAGAGACTTTTAGGTCTTGAATTGGGATTGGCAAGGTTTCCGTTAAGGAACATTTAGTAAAAACTGCTGGCTTTCCGGACCAGACTGTCTCTGTCCCAACAACTCAATTCTGCCCATCGCCCAGTTCACAGAAAGTAGCTGTGAACAAGATGTAAATGAATGGGTGCATTGTACTCATATCAATATAACTGAAATAATTCTCATTTCACATGACTGTCACTCGTTACAAATTATTCTCCTTTTGAGTTTTCCCCAATCATTTAAGAAGTGAGTATCTCTCTTAGCTGGCAGGCTGTACAAAATCAGGCTGGTTTTGGCCTGTGCTAGTCAGGAAGCTTGGCCTAAATCCTTCTGCTAACTTAGTTGTGCACTCTCGAATGGTGACTGTGTGCCAGGCGCTGCACCGAGCCTGACATCATGGCCTCATTTCCTCTGTATTGTGACTATTACTTCCAACTGACTTGGGGACCTAAGTAACTTGCCCAGGGTCAGAAGCTGATGGGGAGGCAGAACCAGGGTGCTCCGACACTGTCCTGAACCTCCCTCTATCTCGGGTCCTCCATCTGAAAAGAGTGCCCCTGGATGTTTTTGCTAACAAAATAGCTAAGTGCCCACTCAGGCTTTGGGGTCAGAGTTCCTGGGCTGGAATCTCAGCTTTACTCCTCACTCACTGGGAGACCGTGGCCAGTGTCTGAGCTTCCCTGAGTTACATGTCCTCACCTGTAAAGCGCGGACGAGGGCGACAGGGCTGACTTTCTGGGGTTGCTGTGGATGAAATAACACAGTGGGAAGGGCTTGCACAAAGTACTGCGTTTACAGGAGCCAGGATCTTAACATGGTCTACCGCCCCAGTGCATGGTACAGCTGAGGCTAGTAGGCTGGACAGATGGCAATCTCTGATCCCTGGTGTCAGGAGTAACCACAGACGGTATTTGCCCAGGACATACCACTTGGATTCGGATACAGACTCTGCTGCTTGCTAGCGGCCTGACTTTGGACAAGCTGCTCACTCTCTTTGGGCCTCCAAGTATCAACCTGATAAGGCTGCAGTTAAGACTCAGTGAGTTAAAGTTCTCAGAACAGCACCTAACGCCGAATTAACCACGTTGGGGTTTTGATTGTTTCTCATGTCCACCGTTTTACCAGTTATTTTACCACGACCCAGCGAGGCAGGGGCTTACTGCTTCCATTCCTAGATGTAGTAAACCGAGGGGCCCTGCAGGCATCATACGGGCCAAAGCTGAGTCTGGGGTCACGGCCGTAGCCCGGGATTTGGGTCCGGGGTCACGACTGGGACCTGGGCCGCTCCGGACAACGGGCCAGCGACCCCAGAACCGTGGGGCCCCCCGGCGTGCTCGTGTCAGTAGGACGGCTCCCAGATGGGTGAGGGAGCAGCTTGACACCCCCACTCCACCCCACTCCCCGGGCCCTACCACCAGCCCTTACCTGCCCTCCTCCTGACGTCACGCCGCGACTGTGCCCGGAAGTGGTGCTGGACGCGCAAGAGGGGTAGCGCACGCCCCGCGTGACGTAGACGCTAGCGCGAGGCGGGGCGATGTGGAATCGCAGCGCTGATTGGCTGAGTGCTGAACACGCCTCGCGCTCTCAGCCGCCGGTGTGGACCAATCCGGGACTACCCCTCCCCATCACGTACACGTCAGGATGCCCGCCTTCGGTCCCGCCCACTATCTCTGGCCCAATCCCAAGCCAGCATCCCTATCGGCGCCCTTCCAGCAGCGCAAACTCCTGGGCTGAAACCTCAGAGCGAGTGTTGGCAAATGCCAATCATCACGTGGGAAACCAAACCAGCCCCTTGGTTTTTAACGAGCTAAGGACTGTTTTTCTATTTGTAAATGGTTGGGGGGAAAAAGTCAAAAGAATAGCATTTTATGCTGTGAAAATAATATGAAGTTTAAATTTTAGTAACCATAAATAAAATTATATTGGAATACAGCTAAGTCCATTTATTTACCTATTGCCTATAGCCACTTTCCCACCACAGTGACAGAGTTGAATGTTTGCAACAGAGTGTATGGCCCAGACAAGAGCCCAAAAAATGTACTATCGGACCCTTTTACAGGAGAAGTGGGCCTTCAAACCTTCAGACCAGCCCAGGCTGTGTGTGCCGTCTTCCCAGGCTTTTGAATTTACTTTTATGCCCAGTAGGGCCTAACAGGATCTATCAGTTCGTTTGTGCAGTGAACAGCTGTTTATTAGGTGGGTGCTATATGGCAGGCAATGGGGATTGAGAGTCAATGACACACCCGCCACAGAATTCTACCTTTCAGTGATATTTTGGGGAGGGGAGGTGTAAGTACCTTGGTTTCAGGGATGTATAGTCTCACTTGTTCTTCTTTTCTTTTTAATATAGGTTGTTAGTGATATATATATATATATATATAATGTGTGTGTGTGTGTGTGTATACACACACACACATATATATATATATATATATATATATATATACACACACACATATACATATACACACACACACATATATATTTTAATCCTCACCAGAGGATATTTTTCCACTGATATTTAGAGAGAATGGAAGAGAGAGGGAAAGACAGAGAAATATCGATGTGAGAGAAATACATCGATTGGTTGCCTTCTGCAAACGCCCTGACTAGGGCCCAGCCCGTGAGGAGCCTGCCACCCAGGTACTTGCCCTTGACCAGAATCAAACCCTGGACTCTATCCACTGAGATATGAAAATATCAGCTTGAGATATGAAGACTGTTTTATAATGTTGCAAAACGCAGGGCAGTTCCTGTGGCACCAGGGGAACTGACTGAGGGAGAGGGGGGCAATTAGCCAGCCTGGGCAGGGTGGTAGAAAGGGTCTTGGATTCTAGTTCTGGGGATCCTGAACCCCACCTCTGCTTGCTCATCTATAAAGTGGTATGTTTCTACTCTGCCCATGGGAATGAATACAATAAATGCCTACATATGTACTTGTAAAACATTTTGAATAAAAGAAAGTTGTGGGCTGAGAAGGGCATTGCAGGATCATGGTGCAGCTCTTGGGGACAAGAGAATGACAGAAGGTTAGGTGGGTTTTAAGTATCTGGCAGTTCTTTACATGAAGCTGAAACCCACTTCCCTGCTATTGGCATCCACTTCCCCTGTTCCTGCCTGCAAAGGCCACCGAAGGCCGACCAGTCTTCCACATGCCAGCCCTTCAGCTCCTGCCTACCTCTGAGAGCCTTTGGTTTAGGCCTAACTCCAGCGTTCTCTCTCCAATCACCATCCAGAGCTGAGATCCAGAGCTGAGAATGCAGGTGCAACAGGTGAGACATTTTATATTTGGTCTGTGGCTGTGATCAAACTGTTTTGGCTGCTACCCCTCCCTTTGAGAACATCCAATCTCCACGCATTTGTACTCAGCCAGCCCATCCTCGGCCACAGCTGATTGGGTCAGGAGTGTAGATTTAACTCAAGCTGGGTCAATTGGGTTTGCTCCTGGGAAATTAGAATTGGCATCCAGACATGCACAGGAATCTGCCTGTGGCCTGACCTGAGAACATGGAGCTTTGGATTTAGTGGGTAGCCACTGAGAGGGGGTGGGGTGGGGGGGTGGGAGGAATGTGTGGAGGCCTTTCTGTTGTTAGGTCCCTTGAGATATCCCTATAATAAACTCTTCTCCTTCAACTAAGCTAGCTTGAACAAGTTTCTCTCTCTTTTTAAAAATGTATTTGTATTGATTTTGGAGAGGAAGGGAGAGGAGAGAGAGATAGAAACATCAATGATGAGAGAGAATCACTGATCGGCTGCCTCCCGCACACCCCCAAATGGGGATCGAGCCCACAACCGGGGCATGTACCCTTGACCAGAATCGAACTCTGGACCCTCTATCCACTGAGCCAAACCAGCCAGGACAAGTTTCTCTTTCTTGCAACCAAAATAACCTTGACTAGTCGAGCAGTCCTGTGTATGGTTGTGGTTAAGTCAACAGTTGTGTTGGAGCAAAGAAAAGAGAGGTGGGTGATGATTTCAAGGCAACCCAAACTTCTCTTCATCCTTTTGAGAGAAGAAAGGGCAAAGACAGTGGCATGTGAGGAAAGAAATCCAACTGCTAATTTCTTTTTCCTGCCAGAGGAGAGGGTTTCTGTAGTAGACAGATTCTGTGGTGCCCCAGATCCCTGCCTCCTGGTGCCCCTGTGTAATCCCTGAGGGCCCAGGGACTCTATTCTAACTAGTAAAATATAGTCAGGTGATGGGATACACGTGATTACCTGTACATAAATACCTAAGATTGTAGTGCTCCTCTTGCCAGGGACTCTTCCTTGCTGGGTGTGATGAAGCCAGCTGCCATGTTGTGAAAAGGAAGTGAGGGCCGCCCACAGCCGACAGCCAGTGAGGAACCGAGGCCCTCAGTGTGAGAGCCTGCAATGAAAGGAAGCTCTACTAATAACCACATGAGTCTGGAAGCAGGCCCTTCCCCAGTCGAGCCTCCGGTGAGACACAGCCCTGACCTATACCTCGATCACAGCCATGAAGAGGACTTCGTTAAGCTGTAGCCAGACCCATGGCCCACGGAAACGGAGAGATAAACATAGGTTGTTTTAAGCCACGAAGTTTGCCATAATTTGTGATGCCGCATTAGTTTCTTTCTCAGGCTATAAATCAACATACAATGAAAGAAATCTGCTTGATGTGTTTTCAAATCAACCAAAAGCAAATCAGAAAACTCAATTACAGACCTATACGGGGTGTCCCCCCAAAAATGTACACACACACTGTAACAGCTGATAGCTCAATTTTAAAAATAAAATCTATTTTAATAAGCACTGCCTTTATAATTATTCAAAGTGTGTGTGTACATTTTTGGGGACCCTCTATATTTTTGCCTCTGTAAGATCCCAATGTGATCAGGACAATACTGGGTTTCTCAGCTACGCAATAGATTCTAGAAAATCCTCTTCACGGTGCGAGCCTGAAGGCAGAAAGGACAGGGCCAGGGCACCAGGGCCCATCTCCAGGTCCCACGTGGCCAGGCACTGAGCACACAACACACTTAGGGAGCCTGGGTGACTTCACCAGGATCCTGCGATTCCAGAGGAGGAGGGAAGAGGACCTGCAAAGCCAGCCAAGTTCAGTGCCATACCTCCGCTCATTAGCCGCTGCACCTGGCTGATTCTGAACTAAAGTCTTTGGGGAAACAAAAATGTGAAAAGGAACATCTGTTTAGAAATAGGCGTGTCATGTGCGGCAAGAGAAGGGTAGTGATGCTAAGGACTCTGAGTCAATGCAGGCCAGTGAGAGCTACTTATCTGGCCTATGTCTCTGGAAGAGGAAGAAGATGGAGCTGGATTAAAGGAGAAAAGGCACCTCCCTTCCCAGTCATGGGAGAGCATCTGGAAGCCAGGAGGCCCCAGTGTGCTTTGTGGCTTCGAAGAGAACACGGAAGAGAACAAGTCTCTACCTCGAAGAGCTCGGTGCCATCTGTATATTACCTCCAAACAGCAGGAATAATAATGCACTTAACTCAGGCACTGCCTTTATTATACCGAGTTCAAAGGACTTTTAAAAGGGGGGCTGTGGCTTTATGGGTTTAGGAAAGCTGGATTCTGGGAAACAGTTGGCTTCTATTTCTGGCTCTACTGCTTGTTTTTCTGTTGACCTGGTGTGCAATAGGAAGGGTCTGGCGAATCCCTTGGAGCCAACTGTCCCGAAAATGTGGGGAAAAGGCAAGGAACCAGAGCCATACAGACACCCCTGACATTTCTGGTTTTCTAAAAGCTTTTGAAGCATAACTCAAAGCATTTTTTGCTTCTGGTTGGAGGGAGGAGGCCAGGAATGCATGACAGTGCCAACACAGATTGCATGACAAAAGCATTTCCTGTTCCCTTGGTGGCTCTGTTACAATTATCCTTTATTTACCACCGAATGCCCAAAAGGCGTGAGTCTATTCCATGGCTCTCTGATGTCCCTCTACCAGCTAAATCTGAAGGTCAGGGGGATGAGGAGTGCAAGGGTCCCGCAGTGCCACAGGCAGGTAGGCCAGAGTTGGGGCTACTACATGCTTTGGTCCTGGCTTGAAGCCTTAGAGTCTAAGGCAGGGTTGGCAAGCTTTCTGTAAAGGGCCAGATAGTAAATATTTTATGCTTGGGGGCCAGATGGCTCCGCGCAACTCCTCAGCTCTGACACTGAATGAAAGCAGCCATAGACATTATGTAAATGAATGGATGGGGCTGTGTGCAAATAAAACTGTATTTCCAATAAAATCAGGCATTGGGCTGAGCAGTTTGCCGAGCCCTGGTCCAAGGGATTGAAAAGATTAGAGCTTTTTCTTAGAGAAACGGCAAGTCTGACTCTAATGAAAGCAGCTGCAAAGGCGATGTGGGGAGGGGCAGGGAGGCCCTGCGTTTGAACCCTGGTCATCTGCGTAGTGGTTGTTACGAAGTTCTTAACCTCACACTCAGAGGTGTCAACGTGGGCATCACTTCCTGGTTTTGTGGCCCGGGGCAAGTTAACTACTGTGTGGCCCAGATTCATCACCCAAAGACAG